CCATAAACAAGCTACCAGGCTGTACCCCACCCTTCTGAGACCTGCTCTGTAAGCCATCCTTCTGCAGCTTGAGTCACTTTTGCTTAAAACAAAGCTGCAATTCAGCCAAGTGCACTTGCTCCTTATAAGCTTGGCATGCAAGAGGTTTTATTTTTAAAAGTTATAGTGCTCATGACACATGAGTTATTAAATGAAAATGCTAATACAAGGCACAGGATACCTTCATATAAGTTATTGGTCAGGGAAGCCCTAGAGGTCTCCATAATAATACAGGTTATTGCCATGGCCATATCATAAATACTTGGTCAGAGTCGATCACTGAAGACATTGAGAATTCAGTCTCAAACTGATAGGTGAGTGTTTCCTCCCTGTTGGCTACCCTTTATCATGCTGGCAAGTGCTATTCAAGTTGCTGGGGGAGGGGGTCACGAACGGTCTTTCCCAGCACAGGACTCTGCATGCTATAATATGGAATGTCCCACCATGCAATAGTGGTACAAGTGTTATAGGGTAATGACTTTCTAATTGGATTTGAGGTCTGCTCCACAGAAGGGAATGCCAAGTCTGGTACTGTAGTCCTTGTCGAAAGTACACGGAGTGGGAAGTCATAAGGCCTAGGTTAGGACTTGCTATTGTTATTTTGCTCTGTAGTGATGTTGTGAAATTGCTTCCAAATATTAATGTTTATTCAAATAGACTTGGACTTCTCTCAGTCTTGGTCAGAGAAGCTTCTTCTTCTTCTTCTTCTTCTTCTTCTTCTTCTTCTTCTTCTTCTTCTTCTTCTTCTTCCTCCTCCTCCTCCTCCTCCTCCTCCTCCTTCTCCTCCTCTTCATCTTCTTCTTTTGCAGGGAATAGCAGTCAGTGTAGACATGCATAACTATCCAAGGTTCTGAGATCAGGAGACTGGAAGCCCTAAGGGAACATCTCTGTATTATCCTGCACTTACTGCCGAGATTCGGGGATCATCACAGCAGAGAAAGTGCAAAGAACGTAAGAGCCAGTGGACAGGAAAGAGAGCTGTGAAGTGCTTTCTTCTGTGCGTGACGTGGTTTGGACTCATGAACTCATAGTGACTGTGGTTCCCTGCACAAGGCCTGCACAATGTCAAGCCAGCCACCACACCAGCATTAGGAGGGTAGATGATCTCTGGAACACACCTCACACTGAGGATGTGGAGAGCTGCGGGAAGAAGGAGAATCATTCTTTCTGAGAATATGAATGGTGAGGTTCCCATGTTCCAGCAGATGGGCCTGCATCCTTACACATATGAGCAGCACTAACCAGACTTAGTTGGCTATCAGTTTGGAAAGGGGGGGGGGAGTGATACAATCATATTTCACTGTATACATGCATGGAAGTTTCAAAAGTAACAAGTTATGGCTGTTTCCTGTCTATCAAGAACAGAGCCATTTCAACAAGATAATTGTACTTTATTCTCTTTTTAATTTAGTTGTTCATATTATCCACTGTTCCTACTTCTGGCCTGTTTGCCTGCTGTACACATCTCTGTGAGGAAAGGGCAGCCGGCCATAGCCTAGCTCCTTGGCCAGCTGGGCTAAATGCATATGTCAATCTCTGGAGCCCCCCAGTGGAGAGGAGAACGAAGTAGCCACGGAGGCAGTGAGGCACAGAGGTTCAAAGTAAATCATGATTTACACCTCAAGTTTTATTGCCATGGACTTCAACCACATACCTCTTGTCTTGAAACGGCTGGATGCCGCTGCAGTTAAAATAAAATGGCATGCTTTTCCTGTCTTAGTTACTGTTCCATCGCTGTGAAGAGACGCCGTGACCAAGGCAGCTCTTATAAAAGAAAGCGTTTCATTGGAGACTTGCTTACCGTTTCAGGTTAGTCCATTATGATCGTGGTGGGGAGCATGGTGGGTGGAACACATGACAGGCATGGTGCTGAAGAAGTAGCTGAGAGCTGCGTCTGGATCTGCAGGCAGGCAGGCAGAGAGAGAGGAGAGTCATCGGACTTGGCGTGGGCTTTTGAAACCTCCAAGCCCACCCCCAGTGACACACTGCCTTCAACAAGGCCACATCTTCTAATCTTTCCCAAACAGGTTACCAACTGGGGGTGAAACGTGGATACATGAGTTTCTGGGGGCCAGTCTCATTCGAACCACCACGTTGCGCTAGCTAGTAGTGATTGTCATAAGCTGCATGTGCCGGCTACTCTGTTCAACTAACACATCTGTAGTCAAGGTTTCTCTACAGCCAGATTGCCTGTCTGCAGGCTGTGCCGAGTCTGTCTCTCCCACAGGACATTGGCTAGTTCTTTACAGACATGCTTCTGGATTTCTTTTCACTCAGCTGTCACATCAACTTCTCAGCTCACACTTATTCTGACCAGAGATGCCATCCTTCAATCCCTTCTTTACAATTCTATCTTGGTCCCGCCTCCATGCTCCACCATAGTCCTGGATCTCTCCTGCCATGACTCACCAGGAGCTGCTCTAACGATTTTTGCTTCATGGCTACTTTACTTCATTTCCCTGATTGAATTTAATGCCATGAGGACAAGAACGACCTCTGCCTTGCCTATCCCTGTGTGCTCAGCATTGAATCTGGCAGTTGGCCCACAGGGGGCGTTCCTTAAAATACATGTTTGTCCTGAAAGAAAAGACTATGGAGCCGTACTGTGCCTCATAGCAATAACCACACAAAGGGAACATCCCTTTGTAGGACAAGGCATGAAGGAAGCAAAGACTAAGAAGCATTGCCACTTACCCTGAGAGTTTTGTGGTTTAGGTAGAAGTAGCCTCCAAGCCTGGAGAGTGGAGACATAAGGGTGTATGTAATATTTGGGAAAAATAATAAAAGGTTTAGCATTATTGGAGTAGCAGTGCAGTGTGTG